ACAAGCGTGTGACGATAGTGTGGTCGCCGGACTCACGTGATCAAATGAGGCTTCAGTCAATCAAGCATTCTCTCGCTGCAGGGGTCCAGAGGTCTGTTCTCATCGATCTACTGGTCCAGCATTTGAGGGGAGAAGGAGGTTGAGGAAGGAAGAAAGAAGAAAAGAAGGAAGTAGGAGGGAGGCTTCGCAGTCTACAAGTATTGTGAGAAAGGAGCAAGTTAAGCGAGCGATCTCATGAAAACGCTCCATGCAACGCGTAAAAATACCGCCGGTAGCCAAGTGCAAATGCAGACTGTGAAGGCTACCGTAACCCACGCCTGATTTTTTTAGCCGCTACAAGCTTACTATTCTACCTCTGTAACCAGAAATCTCATGAATACCTGAACTAAATACGAGTCGATTCGAGCTACTTTCTACTTTTAACTTTTCACACTTTACGACTTAGTCGAGTGTTCTCTGCTAATGTTGTGAGTCTCCATCGGCATTGTGCATGAAGGCGACCTAACAATGGAACCGAATTAGTTGCTACGGTAACCGCCTCCTGTACGCAATAGCACTTGGCTACAGAAGGTGTTTTTACTCAACAAAGCTGGTCGCAAGAACATCTTTCTTCTCCTTAATTCCTTTCTTTTTTCTCCTGAAATGCCCGGCCAGAAATTCCGTTGGGACAGTTCTCGGGACCCTCGCAGTGAGAGAACATCCGGTCGTCAGTTGTTGTTGTAGCATCTTCACGTCTGTAGATCGCTTTGTATCCGGCTTATGTATAATGCGATCCGCTTTAAGGTAAATGGCCTCGGAACGTGAGAGGATCAACAGAATTTTGGAGGGTTTCGACCCAATTGCTCATGGCCTTGCAGAGGATTTTATTCTCACGAAATTGACTGCTATGAAGGGATGTGGATGTAAAGTTCCGCGAGCGGTATGCTTTTCCGTTTCTTCTATGGGAACACTGAGTCTTGCCCAGCGCTTTATTTCATGTTTCGGTACAATTCATGGTGACTGTTTCAGATTCTTCTGGACCTTTTGAAGACTTTCGGATCTGACGTTGTTATCGACAGTGACGGTGTTGGTGAGTGAGGTTTTCCTTTTAGGCTGCTTTCATAGTTTTCGTAGGCGCTCTGGGCATTTTGGGTGGAAAAGGAAGTATGTATGGATGTAGAGCAGAAAAGCCAGCGTTTCGAGCGAATCGGCGTTCCGAGCGCCGGTCGATACCTATACTTCCCTTTTATCTCAAGACGTTCGGAATGCTCCCGTTAAGCTGAGAGGGTAGAAGCGTCCCTGGTGGACGTAACGGATAGCGGCGCACTCGCCCGGAAAGCGTGAGGTGCGGGTTCGACTCCCGCCTGGG